ATAAACTTATATATTATATATTAATTTATATATAAATTTATATATATAATTTAAATGTAAATATATATATATATAAACTTATATATATATGTAATATATGTGTAATATTAAAAATATAATCATATCAAATGTCGTATTAAAAATTTATCACAGATACGTAGTGCATAATATAAATTACGCGTATAATTGCATTTTCATATATATATATATACGCATATATTATATAATGCGTGTGAGTATGTATATATATATATAAAAAGTGATTAATATGATTGATAATAAAAACATAATTTATTGAATTTTTTATTGAAATATATCTATAGCAAATATAGCGTTATTTATATATATATATGTATAGTTGACAAGAAATAAAATGTAAAATTAATTGTTATTTAATTTTTTCAATTGTTCACTTTTCACATATTTCAAATATATATAAAATATAATGATATTTAGTGCTATACCTCTGTGGCTTGTGTATTGATAACCCGCCCTCGCCCCCTAGTTACACCAGGTCGACCTTTGTTTGGTGTAGGATCTTTCACAACTCCCAACAGAACCGATACTGGCTTTGCTTCTTGTTGTTTGCATTCTGTACCTATTTAATATGAAACAATATTAAAAACTTCTTCTTATATCTCGTATATTTTTATTATATATAAAGAAAAAACAAAAGAAAATAAAGATATCTACCAACGAAATTAGTTTCTATTTTATTAATCTGTTCATTTTGTTTTTCCATAGCGGCCATTTTTCTTCTATTTTCTTTTTCTTTTAATATTTGTTCTCTCAAACGTTTCTGTTCTTCCATTTTTTTTCTATACTCCCGCATTTCTGGATCTTCTTCCTTATCCTCTTCCTTAAAAAGATAACAATAACAATAATAATAATAATAATAATAATAATAATAATAATTGTACATGCATTTTATATTATAACATAATATATTTCATATGTGACCATAATTATGAAAGTGGTCTAAATCAAAATTAATAAAAAATGAGCTTATCAGTTATTATTTTAAACTAAATAAATTCAATGTAATTTGAAAACGATATTGTCAAAAATGAATCGTTAGTTAATAATGTTTGTTATTTCAATATTATGTAGAATTCATATAGTGTTCAAGTATAAATCTTGAAATATCTCGAAACAAGTGTTATAAGATTCATAATTTGATTACTTTCATAATTATGGGCACATATATCTTATTATATAATAATAATATTACTTTTTTCTCTTCAACTGCATCGCCTACCGTATCTACGGTTCTTACTTCTTGGAGATTTCTATTATTAGTTTTCATCTTTTTCTGGCTTAATTCTGGCGGAGCTTCTTTATCAGAAATTTGACATACTCTTTTTTGTTGTAGTTTATTAATCGTTCGTGCAGTATTTATAGGTGGTCTACTATTACTAGGTTTTTGCATATGATTTTGTTCATAATTTTCATTACGGTATGTAGACGAAGGAAGTGGCCGCTGCGGTTTATGGGTATGATCATTTCTCGTTCGAGATGATAAATCTCGTTCTCGATAATTTACATGAGATCCTCTGTATTCCGACTATAATAGAAAATAATTGTTTCAAAATATATTCATAAATTATTCTCTCATTCAAATAAAAAAAAAAAAAATATATGATTTTTGAACTTACTTGTTGATAATTATCTCTTTGTTCCCATTGATCATCTGATTTATATTTACTGTTGTCGTTATAATTACTTTCACGTGAATAATTACTTTCCAATGGATACTGTTGTTTATTTGGACTAATATTTATAGTCTTTTGTGGCTTATTCTCTTGCCATACATCAGAAAAATATGCATAAGGATCCTAGAAATAAAATATGCGAATATATTATTGAATCTGCTATTCATATGATTTATTAGAAGAAGAAGAAGAAGAAGAAGAATAAGTTACTTACATCGCTCTTATTCTGTTGATAATTCTGTTGATATTGCAACTGATTTGACTGAGACTGAGATTGAGATTGAGACTGATTGTATGGATTTTGATTAGGATATGGCATATTAGTCTGATTAAATTGGACTCCAGAACCTTGGGTCTGAAGTGGTGTTGGATGTTGTGAGTCCCATGCAAGTCTTGCTATTTGTGTAATAAAATAAGGTATATTAATAACGTATAAAGATAAATGTTTAGATTAATTTATATAATTATGAACTTACCATCATTGGTTGGTTGTACAGCGCCTCGGAAATGTGGATTGATTAATATTTTATGGCCCGGAGTTAAAGTTACATTAGGTAAATTTGAATTAGACTGTTGCGAAACTGGAGGAATTATGTTGCTGTTAAATTGATTATTCTGTATTTGATCTGGATATGGATGTCTTGAATCATATGTAGATCGATTTTCAAAATGTTGTTCTTGAAAAGGTGCTCTATTCTCAAAAGAAGAACCACTAGACATTTGAGTGTTAGGGGGATTTTGTATCAGTGGTCCCTGATTGGATACCGGTGGGCGTGGGTATCCTTGTAACGGTAATATTTGATTTCCTTGCAGTGGTAATGATTGATTACCATGTAACATTTGTGACGAATTATTAGATAATATTGCATTTGGATTACCAAGAAGAGATCCACCAGAATTTCCATGTAATAAAGAAGCTTGGGTATTTGGCAAATGACGATTTGGATTATCTTGCATAATTGCTCCAGAGTTTTGAAAATTAGGTGGTATTTGTACAAAAGATGTTGGATTTGTTGAACAATTATAAGGCGGAGCTTGTAACGGTGCTGCGATATTTCCTCTAGGACCAAATTCCAATCTTGGAGTAATTACTCGTGAACCCATTGAGTTTGAAAATTGATTAGGATTAAATGGCGGTCTACTTTCTATAAAATGTGTAGGTCCTTGCAATGGATTATTTAAAGAAAACTGTTGGAAATTTGGTATCGAAGAATTATTTTGTTGTTGATACATGATCTGTTGATTCTGTATATTATTAGGTACACCAAGAAGAAATGGTGGTCTAGCTTCTAACAGTGGTGGTCTACACAATGATTGCTGATTATCAAAACCACGTGCATTACTAAACCTGCAAAAAAAAAACAAATCATCGTTAAATATCGTATAATAGTAAAAAGTCTATAGAATGAGATAGATCATAATAATAATAATAATAATAATAAAAAAAAATGAAACATACCTTGGACTATAATTACCACTAACCGATGAAATAAATCTTCCTATTTTGTTTCCTCTTGTGCATCGTCCTCTTCCTCTACCTCTGAATGATGGTTTGGACGGTTCAGGCGTCACTACATTTTCCAAAGTATCAGGAATATCGTTATTCATTTTAGGCGAAATCATTGTTCTTTCATTTTGAAATCTATTACGCCTTTCTTTTGCTTCTTCACAATCATCATCTTCAAGTCCTTGTCCATTTCCAATGTAAACTTTTTGCATATTTTTCTGCAGTTTCTCTCGTAAATCACCTTTTCCAATAGTTGCAGACATATTAACACTACTACAACCAGAGTTTGCTTCGTATTGACTGATTTGATCTGTATTATAATCAGTGGTTTTCTCTTGCTTATAAAATCCTGTTTCATTGTCTTGCTGATCTCCATCTTCATAAAAATGATTTTCAATATCAGTCTTTGATCTATTAAACTCTACATTTTCATCTTCCCCTTCTAAGTCATCCAAAGCATCCGTGACTCCTAAGTCCAGTACATCATCTGTTTCCTCTTCTCCCTTATAGCTATTCTGCTGCTCAGGGAATTAAATTGTCAAATATTTGTAATTTAAATACAATGCACTATCGCAAAAATTACATTCTATAAATACTTAAATGTTATAGCCATAATAATAATAATATAATAACTACATAATTATAGTTGGAATGTTATACCTTTTACAATGCCAACCTCAAACCTTTATTATATATCTGGTGTTGTATATAAAATCTTAAAAGTTCAATATCTTTTCATTTTCACATCCAACTATTATAAATATTATCAAGCATAAATAATGTATAATACTGTTTGTTATTTTATATATGTATATACATATATATATATATATAAATATAAATATAAATATAAATATATATATACATACATACACACGCATGTTATCTATTATAATTCATATATTAATATTTTTTCCTGTTATAAATGTGTAATAATTATGTCATATAAAAAATAAATTTATATGCAACGAATAAAACAAACAAATCAATGTTACTTATAAGATTCATTTCTTTTTTTTTTTTTTCCACTAATTTAATATTACAATATGATCCTTGATTTAAGCTAGTAAACACATTGCATTTAAATAAACTTTAACACATTGGAGATTGCATTTCTACGTGTGCACATACGCTTAAAGCATAACAGTATACTATATATCTCAATTAGAACAATTTTATATATGAAAATAAATTTTTATCGGATAAACCTTAATTAAACGATAATCACAACCTTTTTAAATACAATATTAAATACAGAAATATAAATTATGCTTAATACAGAAAACTACAATTTGTATTTGTATTATTACAATGTTGTTTGAATTATTGTTTACTGTTACTTTTTATGCGCATGGTGAATTATAATCTTTGGTTTTGCAATGATGATTATTTAACATCTTAATGCTATTGGTTGATGTTCAACACATTATTTTCTTACAAACATGCATTTTCATTTTTTTTTTTTTTACGATTATAATATACTCCCTCCATTCCAAATTAGTTAGTATAAACATTTACATATCAAATGCAACGACTAATTTGAAATAGAGGAAGTAATTAACGATCCAAAATGAAAATTTCATTTTTTAAGAATGGCTAGATGTAAATTTCTTTAAAATATATTAGAGATGTAGAAAAGTAATAATAAGATATATATTAAGATGAATAGAAAGAACTTTTTTTTTCAATAAAAAAATATATATTAGTATATATTACTAACATAAGTCAAAAGAAAGTATAATATAATAATTTAATATATCACAATCAATYAATCACAATCAAAAACAAATACAATCCAATTATAGTTATTAATTTGATTCTTACATTAAGCCATTCGATATAATAAATAAATTTAATTGATTTTTGATAAATAAATGAAACGAATGATATCTATATAGATTAATTACACATTATATTATATATTATAAAATGTATAAATTTGAAGAGTTGTATAAAAAAGCAATAGTTAATTATGTTGCTTTCATTAATAAGTTTGCAATATCTGATATTGTTTAGAACTTTTGTATGTTCCTTCATTCATTCATTCATTCATTTAAAAATAGCAAAAATATATTGTCCATTGATGTCATTTTGTTTTTTTCGAAAAAATAGATATTTTTATTCCATGTTATATCGAAAACATTTGGATCTCTATTATTGTTCATGTTTCATTATTAAATATATCAAATTTTAACAGGAATATAGTAAGCAAGCAAAGATAAACGCATGTACGTATGGTGTACACATGGTTTTTATGCATGTGTATGTGAATTAAGCAAGAAGAAATACATGTATGATTCATTTTACAGATGTTATTAAGAGTACCTATTATTATATTATATATAATAAAAAAGAAGCAAGAGAGGATTTATAATCATAAAAATAACATTTTATACTTATGGTGATGGTGTATCATTTAAAAACTCGTTCTTTTTTTTTTCTCTATTTTTTCTTTTTAACATATATCGTATGTTTCCAGAAATGTAAAAAATATATTTCAAATGGATGATCATCTACCTTCAATTCAAATTTATCCAATCCACTTTATATTTTTTACTTAGAATTTTGTTATATATATACAAAAGAATAAAATGTACTTTAAAGAATTATTACATTTTTTTTTGTTTTTTTTTTTTTGTTTTTAAATAATAATGAGTACCCAGAGATAATTTTGTAACTCATTCACAAATAGACTTTTTACATTTTTTTTTTTTTTACTTAACGATAAGTACGCTTATATTACATTATGTTACATATTTATATTCTTGTGAAATATTATTTAGAGTGAAAAGATCGTAGAATTTTTATACACGATACAATATAAATCTATTTTCATTCAAATATGTAATCGTTGAAAACATTCAATTATTAAATATATAATCTCTACCTGTTTAAAAAAAAAAAAATCTTGTATTGTTTTATATTTACATAAATCACATTATTGTTAATACTTATGGATTATATTGTTTTGTTTTTCTTTTGTATAAAA